ATGTATGTAACATACATAATACAACAAATATTCTGAAATAAGATAGAGTTAGGTACAGTAATAACAAATAATGAACTGCGCTGAATCATTCAGCTGTTTCTTCCCTATGAGACTCCAAAGTGATGCTCAGGACCTAATTTTGAATCTTTGGAGGCGACAGGCGAATAGATCAAAAGAAAATTCAAAATCTATCCGGGTTTCTGTTCTAGCCCCATGATTAGATAAACTATACATAATCATTTCACAAGTTTGTCAGTTACATGTGTAAAAATGAAAACGTGGAATTAAGGCTATGACAGACCTCGTGGACTTCAGTCCACCAACAATGACTATCCTCTGCTCTCTCGAAAAGTGCACAAAAAACACACGAGTGAACAGAATGTTTCGATAAAAAATTGACATTAAAAATAATAGTACTTGTCGTTGATATCTTTGAAAAGTACGAAAAGGTGGATATTTCTGCGGTTTTTTAAATATGATATTAAACAAGAAAATTCGATAATACGCAAAACTGTAAATGAAATTGATTTTTCCTACATGATACATACAAACCGCTAGAACTGTTTTCAGTAATGTCATAGCTGCTGTAACCACTGCTGTAGCTTTTGTAGCTATAGTACCGGGAACTGTATCTGCTATACCGGGAACTGTAGTATGACGGTGTGTACACCTTCCTGTATACCCATATACAACACGCTGTGGGCGTGGCATAGTCACAGCACACCTCACTGCAGTAGTGGTAATACTTGTTCCCATAGTAACTATAAGCTGGACACTGGACGCTGTTGGCAGGTGTTGCTAGATTTTAAGAGTAAAATGATAAAATATCTAAAATGAGCCAGGTATATGATACTCCAGTAAAGCCCATGCTCTGGATATAGATGACCACAAAGTAACACGTTATTTCGGTTAATGCTGCATTTCATTTCGGTGCATATATGTCGCCCGACGTCTAAGTATAACCAAAAGCATGCAACATGATATATGACGTCTTTGTCAGATATGTGCATAAGCTAAATGCAAAGGAAATTCTGTTGAAGGTTTTAATGTATCAATGGTTATTTGGTAATTTTGACGTCTTTTTATGATGTTTAAAACACTGAAGAGTTCCAGTATTAGATGAACATAAACAGTTGCTCTTAAAATCGCGCCAGAACATCCCATTACCCTAAATTATTCAAAACAAAATATCTATTATTTCAATTGTATCGGATTATGGTAACGAAAGTGCTGTGCATTCTTTCAAAAAAGGCCAATTTTTTTGAAGTGGAAATGTTGTGTCGAAATATCACTGCAATTGGCATTACTGCGTCACATTTACACCGAAATATAAACACTTTCCATCCTTTGTAGAAAAAGCCTAATTTGTGTATCAAGTTTATCTGTCTAAAAGTATTGGTAATGGAGTGCTTTGGCAAGATTTAACGATCAAGTGGTAATATAGTCACGTGACTTACTGGGTGCGTACTTAGTGGTCCATATATTTAGGTAGTAGCTTTGGATATTGTGTAATGGTGATAAAGCTATTAAATTAGCAACGGGATAGAAATAATGATAAAAGGTAATTTTCAAAATGAATCTCTTGAATGATTTTTGAAATAAAGATAAAAATCTAAGAAAAAACATTAACCTACATGCGCGAGAAAATTCATATTAAAACGACATGGTGATCGTTTGAATACGTGCTAGTTGCCATGCTCAACACTGTTTATATCTATAGTAACCCGAGGTTCACGCGGACTACATTCAGCAAATTTGACATTCTAGAACCCTTCAGTGTAACTACGTGTCAAAATTGTGAAACCTAGCATGTACGGAATTTGGGATCTTAAAACAATTACCAAGCACGATGATATCTTCTTAACAGGTGCCACTATCTCTAAAAACAAAAAATAAATAGGTCTAGCAACAGCATGTTATTGCGTAACTCTTCATTTCTCATTTGGAGTCTCGCCAAATATATTAGAATAATGATAATAAACTGAGCTATCACTACTATTCAGTTATTGTCAATGGTGTATTTGCATGCAAACATATCAATTAAATTCCATTGAAAATACATCACAATTTTTATAATATAAAAATGTAATATTTAAAAGTCGAAAACATTTGGTAAATCTGTATAAGATTAGTAAATATTTCAAGAGATATTTTCGATTTTCTGTATTTCTAAATCTCTAATAAATATAGTTGAACCCCCTTTCCCTGTTTGGGTGTTATAGTATTAAGGCAACCCTATACATGAAATACTTAATCTTGGTTGTCTTTCCCTAACCACGGGGAACTCAAATCTATATAACTACCCCATTATTTATTGATTATGTGTCATATGCAGTTCCAAAACATACCCTAATACCTATCAGGAAGTGGTTTGTTTAAATGACTGAGATTCTATTGTATCAAAGAAGACAAATATAACAATCGATAGAGTTACCATGCGATTTTTGTATTGTCCAAAATAAACTAGATACCCTTATCATGAACATATCAGGTTTCTCTCGGGCTGTAGGAAATACAAAATCAATAATCTAAATGATTTTCCAAACAAAATTTTCGTACATGTGTCTTGAGGTACTATTGTAGGTGCTTACATGACAAGAAGTTATTTTGCATTGCTAGCACAACTTAATATTACCACTCTGTATCATAATCCCTCGGATATATTACGATATATTTACACTCTATGATTACTTTTATGACAAGAAGTTATTTTGCATTGCTAGCACAACTTAATATTACCATTCTATACTAACGGAAAAAAGAAACGCAAGTTTTTGTCCGGTGGTAAATATTTCAAATGTTTTATGGATGATCATATCATTGTTAAGATGTTTATATTAATTTTCCTCATTACAGATTAAAATTTGATAAGTTCTGTTGTCTTAACACAGACGGCGTTGGCATGGACAGCATTTAAACGTGGATACCCTCCGCCATTTCCTGATCAAAATCAATAGCGGGTGTGCCCACCTCGAGCTGCAGTCGCTGCTCTAACTCTCCTTACCATTGACCCCATCAAATTGGGTATAGTCCTTTGTGGGATGTTATTCCACTCCTGAAGAAGGGCCTGCGTGAGCTGAGCGACGTTGTTTGGGACGTTGACGCGCTTTCTGAGCCTCCTGTCCAGCTCGTCCCACAAATGCTCGATCGGGGACAGATCTGGACTGTAGGGTGGCCAGTCGGGTACTGGGACATTGTTTTGGTTGAGGAAGTTACGGCACACCCTACAAAACGTGCGGCCTCGCATTATCCTGCTGCAACGTAAGGTTTCGCGCTTGGATTAATGGAAGGACATGAGGAATGAGGACCTGATCCCGATACTGGACGGCTGTAAGACTGCCTTGGATGATAACGAGGTGTTTTCACGACATGAGAATTCCCCACCCAAACCATAACCGACCCTCCCCCGACTCTGCGTCAAAATATCGCTCACCGCGACGTCGATAGCAACGTTTTCGTCCATCTGACCTGTACAACGTGAACCGATACTCGTCCGTGAATAACACACGTCTCCAGCGGGCCAAGCGAAACCGATTTAGTGCATGTGCACGCAGCCATTGCATTCGACGTTGACGTCGCCTGGGGGCAAGTTGCGCACCAACGTCGTGGCCTTAAATTGAACTCCCGCAACCGATTCCTAACTGTTCTTGGACACACACGGCGACCATGAGTGCCTACAATATGACTTGCCGTCTACGTCGCTGTCTGAAATCGGTTACGTAGGTGTTAGAGACGTATGCCCTGATCTTGACGTGGCGTCGTAACGCTCCTAGGACGGTTAGCTAAACTTCCCGTGGCCCGGAGACGCCCAACTTATCGAGCTATCGTTGACTCATGGACTCCAAATTGCTGGGCGACGAGACGTGTCGATTGGCCCTGTAGAATTCGGGCAATAGCCCTACCTCTATCAACTTCGGACATTCGCAGCATGCTGCTTTTTAATCGCCTTGGAATGAATTGTTGTGCACTGGATGTGTGCTGTTCAAAACTTGGATTAGGTATGGTTTATAGCACGTGGTAGGTGCTACGGACGCACGCTTTGTTGGAAAATCTGTCCAAATCGTGCAGCGTCGCCCGTGGTCACGGTTGACCGAATTTAAACCGACGATTATTTAGACAGTACACTGAGGTATTTATGTGTCACATTTCACAACATTTGGTCTACGGATAAAAAAGTTATATTACCAAAACTGAACTTGCGTTTCTTTATTCCGCTAGTATATATTATACATACCTCGGATATATTACGATATATTCACACTGTAGAAATTACTTATCTCTAACAAAACATTAATTAACACAACATAGTATTTTATTTAGTTTATTTGATCAATGGTAAGTAACAGTGGTGGTAAGAATATCCGGAATTAGCTTTATTTGATATGTAGAGGAATGTTACAGGCACTGTTCTATTATTTATACTAAAAAAAACACTTTATAGCAAATATCACAAAAAATACAACACATGGTATCATATATCAAATATATGTCTAATTTTCTTAAGCATATGTCAATAATTTAAAAACACGCTGTGTTTCGCAAAGTATCGTAAATTCTATACCAGAACCATACAAAACAACCAAATGAAACACTAGTCTTGTAACAATGACTTAATCGCGATATCAAGTATACATGTGTATGGCATACGGATGCAATTCTTTGGTCTCTTGGTACGTTTTGTTATCCAGACCATACTAATATTTAGAACAAAACTAAATAAACGGCAATAATTGATACAGAAATTTACAACTAAAGCCTGAAAGATAGTTACTGGTTAAAATTAATTCGTTGTACTTACACAAAACTATTCACACAATAAGAAAGTCGAGAGAGAGTCCCATCTTTATACCTGTTCTCTGCCGAGGTCTCCGTGTCTTACGTAAAAAGGAGGCTTATCGGACACTTTATTGATTGTAAATGATTTACAACAATTGAAATAAGAGATCATTAACTCATGTCAATAAGGAAATAGTTTCATCTATTTTAAGAACAGAGTTTTGTTCAATAATACATGTTCTAATCATAACAAATCCGGATGATATAATCACTGGATAAACCGAAGTAATCTAGACAAACTGTAGTTATCTCTAAAAAATCGGAGAAACTTAATGATAACCAAGGGAAACTTCTTCATAAACTACAGATAACCCTGCTAAACCGGAGTTATACCTGGGCAACTTCTAGATAAAATGAAGAACTCTAAATTATTCGGAGTAAATTCTTAATTATGGCTAGTCAATGAATAATAGACAATGTATAAACTGCAACCAATACTAGATAAGCATTTTTGATTCCATAATTGTATAAATATACATCTTGTATAATCTTTTGATTAAAGCATCAGTTGGACGGATTTATAAATTGATCTGTAAAAATATAATTTATGCGGAAGATCACTCCCATAAGTGGCACTCATGCTGTTCTACGAAGTGGAATATTTTGGTGGAGGAACAATTTGTTCAGAGTTTGGAGGAGCATTGCGTGCACCCTGAACTGGGTTGCCAGGTGGTGGTTGAGGATAGGCTTGTCCTTGCATGGGGTAAGCTTGTGCCTGGATCACACCTTGGGCTGTAAATATATCATAGTATGAAAATAAAGAAACGTTACATTGTTAGCTGTAAGATTGATACTATGATTTAACGTGTATCACCATCGCGGTGATATCAACGTTTTATCTTATTAGATAAGTGCTTTCTATTTGCAGAATTGAAATTTCAATCGACTTTCAGTATAGATACAGATGAAGTGAATGTCGATTTAACGACAATCTGAGAACAAATTACTTTTTCTTTCATATCGGAGCATTTTTTTGGCAACTTGTGTAGATGTGGAAATTTAAAAAACTTCTATTCATTTCAAGTTAATTAGTTTAACCGTTTTATTAATAATGTATATTATTCTGCAAAAATGAAATGTAATTCGTGGTTGATAGGGCGTGTAGCTAAATAAGTCTTTAATTAAGTTAGCAATATTCTCATTCCGTTCTTGTCTGTTGTATTTTGCCAACTGTACAGAAAACTATGAAATTTATAGTGAATATAAATTGTTTATATATACGTATTTATATCATGTCTTTATTCATAGATGTAGAAACTCAAGATATTGTAAGACTATGAAGTGGGTTCATGTGGTCGGGTGGCGCAGTGGTAACGAACTCGCCTTTCACCTAGCCGACCGGGGTTCGATTCCCGGAACGGACGTGAAAAGGTAAGGGGTCACCTGACCGACCACGTGGGTTTTCCCCGGGTACACCGGTTTCCTCCCACAATAAGATACCTTGCATGCTTACATCCGGGCCAACAAGAGTGATTCGTATAAGTTGACATAACTTGTTTCGCAATTGTTGTAAAATAAATAAGGTTTTATATTTTAAGTTTCAAATAAAAAAAACATTTTGGAATTTTGATCTACAAAACGATACAATAATATTTTTCTGGGATGCCGCTTTATAATTAATAGTATAACAATAATTTCCCTGGAGTGCGAAATCCGCGCATGCGCGACGCGGTATCTCCTCAATAGTTGCATATGGCCCGAATACAGGTGCTCGTACGCAAAAAATCGCGCGACATATAAAATAATTTCCAAACATTAGAGAGAGGCCTTGGTTATCGTGTTCAGCAGAGCACATTCTCAGAAAGTTTGATGAATACGAATTTTGAGTACGTTTTCACTGGAGCACAGGCTTGAGCATGCGTGAATATGGACTCGGGTCCTAGTGTTTAACCTGTGTAAGTGTTATTGTAGACAGTAGCTGCTATGCCTTGTGCCTCGGTGGTATCTTTGGCTTGTGTGAGTGTTGGTAATGACAATGGTTACTGAGGCATTTGTCTTGGTATTGTATCTATAGATCTGTTGACAATAGCTACCGAGGCTTCTGGAGGGGAGTTAAAACCCCTGTTTTTGTTGAAAACAACTACTAAGAAAACTAAAAAAAGGAGTTGTAAGGATCTAGTTTTCGATTTTACAACAATACATTAAAACAAGACATGTCTTTAATCTACCTTGGACAGTGGTAGCTACACCTCCGGGATAGACAACTGCCTGTCGTGTAGATGTGTTCGTCAACTTTTTACAAATGCATGTAACGAGTGCAATCAGCAGGGTTAACCCAGTTATTGATCCAACTGCTATCCCTGCAATAGCTCCAGCTGACCTGTTCAACGAGAGATAAGTTAACCATTTGTCTCTTTTACATATCTTTATACGAATGCCGAAGTTTATATAAATTGTCAACACATTATTTGAGTAGCGCAGCTAAGTCTGTCACAAGGAGATCTTGAAATGAGAGAACGTGCTATTTAGAAGGCACATCAATAATTTGAGCATAGTTTTATTTAAAAAACCCCCAAAATGGTGTAATTAAACTCCACTTGCTGAGAGAAAGAGTGTTTGGAGTAACCATGATCAGTAACATGTTCTTTAGTTTTATTTACAAGATCAGGTTTGGATAATGGGTTCTCTTTAAAGCAGCTGCGAATATGCCAACGACCTATTCACTTGAAATAAACAAAAACATTACAGTACCGAGGGAAAGTTTATAGAAAATACCATTGTAAGTTGTGAAATACCTATACATACAAGAATATTGTACAATTCGACATACGTGTATTACATGTAACATCAAGTAACCTTCTCCTGAAACATGTTGACAATGATGATATCACATCGAAGCCATTATTCATTTTTGTTTGTTCTTACAAGTATTTTTATTACCATAGACATTTCCTTGTTATCCTGAATCGTCTTCAGACACAAATCTGCAACATAATCTGGACTGACTACTATTTTGTACGATCATTTTTTTCTCTTGTTTTATGTTGCTGAAGTCTTACTAATTTAGTCCATGTGAAAACAAATCTAACTTGCTGCCGATATCAAATTATTACATAATCTGAATAGTTAACTGAGAAACAGAAGATAAAATTACAATAACTACGTCATATAAGTGTCGTTAACGAGCTAAACAACAAAAGTCTACTGATTATTTGATACATAGAAACTAAAGGAAAACGGAAGCATTCACGCGATACTCACAAACTGAGTGCGTCGTCGATGTCGTAGTAGTCGCCGTCGTAGTAGTAGTAGTAGTAGTAGTAGTTACTGCAACTTCCATAGTATGAACACGATGAGTGTACAGGTGTTGTCAGATCTTCAAAACCGAAGGTGAAATACAATATAAATTGAAATAAGAAATGTTCCCAGTTGTTCCTCTAGGCCTACATAGTAGTAGAACCAACACATTCTTTATATTTCTACATAGTACAGCAGTTTTGACCTTCACGCGCGTTTCAGCAATTTGTAAAAACTCCCGGACAAATTTCAGCACAAAGAGCAGTATAGAAGTCAGTTGGTGATATGATAAGGGATTATTTAAAACATCGATGACATTTGGATTTTCTGAATTAGTTTTGAATTTTCTCGGTAACATGCAAGTTTTGTTTACGTAGTAATTCCGTTAACCTCAAGAGTTGATGAGCTTATTCTGACTACTTCGTAAACGCAAAATGATACCTGTAACGTTCCATAAAAAATCAGGAAATGCTCTGTTTATTGATATTAGAAAATAGACATTTGGATGAAAATGAAGAACATATGTAAGTTTTACATTATCTTCTTATCGTCCCAGTAAAATTCTGTTCGCTGCATTTTAATGAAAAATTTAATTTTGTATGAAAAAGGTCACCTCAAAATAATGAAGAATGGCTATTATTCACTGGAAAACAAAATTAAGTAGTGAAAAATAATATTTTCAAGCCTACATATTCTGGCGCCTGTCGCGAAGTAATTAACTAATATAATAATTTTGCTGCTTTTCACACACTTTCTGAGACCTAACTTTCAAAACATCTTCACCAGAATAAGAGTTTGAAATAAGAAAATTGGTTAACTGATAACTATGTATCAACATCAACTCAATTATGTTATATATGCTGCCGTGTATTATGTAATATATTGCATGTTCTTAACTCTTCAGATTCTATAGTACGGTACCCGTAACAAATAAAACATTTTCCAACAAAAATGTCGTGATACTAGGTGAAATCACACAATTCAAATCAATGTAAAAAGCGATCGTGATGAAGGGAAATAATATATATGTCATTTACATGCAGATGACATATTAGCGTCAAATAGTGAAAGCCCAACAAAATCTTCGTTCCCAATAAGATTTCTAATGTCTCGGAGGAATCTCAGGATGAATGTCACAACATAAATATAGATGTATGGTCTAAGGACTAGAGTAATGGGCGAGACATTTAACCCCGATATAAATGCCTGGGTAGATATCAGAATAAACTCAGGATGAGAGACACAACACAGATATATTTGTTTGGTCTAGGAAACGAAGGAAACTCGGAGAGAAAGAGTCACATTAAAGATATAGATGTCTGGTCTAGAAATAACCAGAAATCCAGGTGAGAGTCACAACATAGGCATACAGATATGATCTAAGAAACGCAGGATTGAGCTTCATAACATCTATACGAAACCTGATATATGAACCAGAGAAAACTCTGGTTCAGAGAAAACTCTGGTTCAGAGTTACATTAGAGATTTAAATATCTAGTATAGGAACCAGAGGAATATCGGGGTGAGAGTCACACATGAGATCTAGATGTTTGTTCAAGTACCTTATCCAAACTTGGATTAAGAAACACAACAGAATTATAGATGTCTCTTCTAATGTCATTTTACATAGTTTGCGTACAAAAAAGATATCTGTAACGTACTACTATTTCAAAGCAACACCGTCTAATGCATGAATAAAGTCAAGAATCACTTTATCAATCTAGTTTAAAAATCTAGAATTTTTCAGAGTGATAGTCGGAATGTCAGATGGGGAAGAATACCTAACTTCATTAAAATAACAAAACACCAGACAAGAAATCAGATTCATCAAATCTCTTTTCCTCATATTAACAGATAGATTCCTAGCGTAAAAACGTGGCAGTAATATAAGCCTCATATCTTTTCGATTTAAATTCTGCAGTATCGATTGAGTGACATTTATTGTCACTTGCTAAAGCAAACAACTTTTTCTCAGAATTATCTTTATCTTATCATAAAGCCCCAGTGGGGTGGTGGTATGAAGCTCCCTGAAGTCAGATCGATGCCTTGTAGAGAGATAAGACCCTTTTCTATGACAAATGAGCGTGATTCTTGTCGCCTACTGTGAATATTCCTAAAAAACAACCATATTTACCGTAAGCATAGATACGTCTCTGCCGTAAGTAAGCAAAAAAATGGTTTCTTGTATCTTCAAAGCTTATTGTAACTGCATGACTTGATTTACAGTGTATTTACTTTCGATTTGTCTAAATCCTCATATTGATAGGACAGTAATTGCAACATCTTGGGTATTTCAAAGGTTTTATTTAGTCAACTTCATCATAGAGCTATTAATCATTTGGCTTGTTGGCGATAAATATTTGATTGTGTGTATTTTTTTTTTTTTTTACCTATTTTGATTTGTTCACATCATTGTCGTCAAATTTGAAATAAGAATTAAAGAAGATATACAATCGCTTAAAATTAAGGAAAATAGCCTCTGGTTCTCTTATTTTAGTAATTTTTGCATTCCAAAGTGTAGGAGTATGGGGAAAGTAATATAGCTTAGCGGTTATTTGTGAACATTTTTTCAATACGTTTAGCCTCTCAGTACTTTGAGTAATTTTTTTTTGACACATTTTTCAATATATACATTTTAACCTTTGGTTATAATGTTATAATGAGTTGTGGTTCCTTGAGTAATTTTGCATATCAACCATGCATTTTTGTGAAAAACAAGACACAGATTCCTGACTATGCACTAGTGGCCTACGGAATTTCCTAAAATATCATATAAATGAATCAATACTATATGGAGTTATATCGTTTTGCATTTAGATCTCTTTCTACAGAACAAAGACAATTTTCCATGAAAAATTGACATAGTTTTGTCCGGCTATACATTTGCTCCCTTTTTTCTGTAGTATAAATACTAGTTGGAGTAATGCCCACGAGAGTTATTTTGCCCTTGAAATCTTTTTAAGGGGTTTATGCCCCTTTATGTAGAAAATAAGATATAATTCGTATGGCTTTGCATTTACTTATTTTACAATGGATTTTCTTAAAATTTCGAAAGAATTACCACAGATATGTTGTTTTCCCTAATTTTAACCCTTTTAGGGAACGTTGTCTTTTGTATGAGAAATATACTGGCGTCTACGTGTTATTCAATAAAACGATTTTACATTAATTTGTAAAATGCCAGTGTTGTATGGTAATATGTGCATAAAGGGATCTTGCATAGTAACCAAGTTGTTAACAGTTATGTTCCATTTTGCAAACAAGTGACCAACATTTCATAACACTACTATATAGATAAGTGTTCCTTAATTAAAATTTCATGCAGTACGAACATTTTTCCCAAAAAAAAAATCATGAAAAAGATGATGAAATGTCGCTATACTTACACAATGTTATCCACACCGAGCCAATGATTAAGGACATTGAGAAGCCCATCTTTGTATCTTTGTATCCCCTTAGAAATGCGTGCTATTTCTTGCCGACAGAGCTTTATCAACCCTTGTTTTATTATCGATTTATGCATTTAAAGACAAACAGCGCCTGTCTTGACGAATAGAAGTGTTTTGGGGGATACTTTGTCAGGTAATCCATAAACAGGTTCAAAAGGGTCATTGTCATATCAGAGCAAACAAAAACTACAAAGTAACCGGAATCCTCATTTGACAGCTTGAGAATTGTCGGCCGCATGCCATACCACTGTACAATGATCACAAATCAAACATGCCTTTCAATGGATATTAAGTGTATATCTATGATATGTCAAATTATGAGTTTAAAATGTATCATACAGTTATTGTTAGGCCTAATAAACTCTTCGTCAACGATGCGCTTACTAAGGTCGGGTCCACACTATTCTCCAAAGCCCGCTTCCTCAAGAAGGAGGGCCACATTTCCGGAGGATGGACTCAGGATGGCAGGATAGTGATACGGAACCTCACAGGTGAGAAGCATCAAGTTACCAGACTAAATGAGTTATCTTCCTACCCTGACCCTCCTTCAAAGGGACAAGGACCTAGAACGCTAGCTCAGGGCCGTGGATCCAGTGCCGGTATACATTAGCTATATGTACATGTAGGCCCGTGTGTCAGTCTGTAATATAAATACATTGTATATATAATTATATGCAAGTGTTAATGTAAATACTGTAGTGGTACCCAATGTGTGTATAACACACAGGAACCACCACGGTTGCTCCCAGCTCCCAAACCAACATATGATACAGTGAGGTTACTCACGTTTTGTAAATCACGTCCGTACTGTTTGCTGGTCAAGAGGGGGCTGTCCGATGGTCTCGCGCCAAACTGTCGCAGGAGCTCCACGAGATCTCGCGGTGTCAATGTCATTGTACGTCAGCAGTGACAACCAGGGGAGATAATTCACCCCGGTTTTCACTACACTCCTCCCCGTTTTATGAAGGCCCTCTTGAGTTCCTGCTGTATGTATTGGGGACAAAACTTCTGGAGGGTGATCAATATGGCCCAAGCAGTAGTTGACAAGTCTTGATGAGCATCAGTGTTGCAGGACTTCAGGGTGCTTAGGTAGTGAGCACCCTTAAGCTCAAGTGAGCTTGTGACGAGACAATTAATTGTGCCTGGAGACTATACCTAACCTATAATACTAAGGGACCTATACAATTCAATAACCCTCATAGTGAGGGTAAATCAACCTATGGGTTTCAAGTCCAGGGCATGAACCCTTACCATAAAATTAATGGCCTGGTCCATCATCATGTAGATTTTCACCCACGGTTCTACTGTTCTAACAAAATAAACTATATTATTGGGGTTCTAGGATTTCTAAGGGCTACTCTACTCCCTCGTTCCTGTTTCCGGAGGGCTAACACTATATAGACTTTGACGGACGAAAAGACTTCTCCCACCAGGTTCCATGTTCCACAGTTGTGATGCAGAGACCTATATGAGAGAATACAACAATACAATACTGACACCCTCACAGGTTCCGGTCATAAAACAGGATCCTTTATGTAAGGGTTAACAGTGACGGATTCAACCCTCTGAGGGGAGAAGATTCCCTGGCAGAGCTACACAGTAACACCATGGATCCAGTCCTCTCAAGGATATCAGCTCTTGGAAAGTACACCTATATAGCCGTTACACTAAAGTAGGGAAAGGTCCCAGCCTTCTGGCTGGGAACTATTCCTGCTAGGTGGACTCCATCCTCTAAGGAGGCACCCCTGTGGTTAATCCCGTTATGGCTTTGCCAACACAGCGGAAACCACAGGGTGTCTTCATATGAGGATGGTATCATATGTGGGACATAGGATCAAGGGTAGACTGATTCCCTTGGAAAAAGGGACTCAATCTCTTCAAGAGGTACCGAAGTATACTTAATTCCCTGTTCCCACATGTATGACACAGTGTAAACGCTTCTGAATCTTTGTAAACCAACGAAGGTGTAGGACGTATCACTTCTCAATGCTGGCTAGGGAACTGGGTTGGTCAGAACTTTGAATTTCTAAAACTAAGGTCTAAAGTTCTAACAGCTAAGATAAACCTACACTATCCTACCTACACTGGCTGAACCCATTCCCATATGGGTTCCCTCTCCCCTCTCTTACTGAAGGACATAATTGTCAAATTTCCGAGGAGACCTTATCTGCCTTCCACGGCGAGTGAGGGTTACAGGAACCTGTGACCCTTCAACAGGGCTCTCCATAGTGTCGCGGGTTTGACCCTCAGTAGCGTGCGCGGTTCCGCGAGTGGGTACACGAGGTTCCCTTGGAGAGAGCTCGAGGCCTCCCTCATCATTAGAGTGTTCGTTGTGTTCATTGCTCTCCCCCCGATTGAGAGTGTGCTTCAACCGGTGTAGCCACAGAGGGATTGATCCACCAATATAATGCTTCAGTCTATCATGGTGGCAGTGTTTTGAGCCTTTACGGTTCTTGATCCTGTACAAGGGGTGTTTGGTGTCAACAACCAGGAATGGCCCTAGCTAGGGAGGCTTGAGCTTGGAGCTTTTTCCCACTTTGGTGGAGGAATCCCTTTTATAGACCACATCTCCTGCGTTGAACAAATTGTCGGTAGCTCTGACATCATAGTCTCGTTTCTGACGTCGCTGATACTTCCCAACGTGCTGTCTAGCAATGGTGTGCACTTCTGTAAGGGAATCCTGGAGATGTTTTACCCATTCGTGAGGTTCCAACGCTCCTGGAGGATTTGGTGCCCCTAGTAACAAGTCTAGTGGTTGTAGTGTTTCTCTGCCTAACATCATCATGTTTGGGGTAAACCCTGTACCCCTGTGTTCAGTGGCGTGAAGTGCCATCTTAATTAGAGGCAAGTAATGGTCCCATGTATCATCTTTACCGTTGATACAGCATCGGATCATTTGTAGCACTGTTCGGTTCAGCCGTTCCACCTGTCCATTTGAGGAAGGGTGGTAGGGAGTTGTGCGGGTTTTGGTAATCTCGAGTAGTTCACATAACTCTGAGAAAAGTTGACTCCCGAAATTAGTTCCCTGATCTGTATGGATCTGTAGAGGGCAGCCAAACGTTGACAAAATGTTTTTCACTAGGCTATAAGCTACAGTCTCGGCTGATTGGATGGGAAGTGCCTCTAATTCTACCCATTTGGTAAATTGATCCACCATCATCAAAATGTATTTGTTGCCCATCTTGCTGGGTGAAAATGGTCCCAATATGTCAATGTGAACCCTTTCCATTGGGAATCCTGCATGGAATGATCTCAGTTTAGCCTTAGAACGAGGTGATTTTTTGTTTCGAACGCATGTAACACAAGACTTAACATGGAGCTTGGAGTCCAATCTCATGGTATACCACCATACGTGGTGTTTTAATTTGGTGTATGTCTTGTGTTCTCCCAAATGTCCTCCCACATGGTTATCATGGGCACATGTTAAGGCTGTTTCCTTGAGAGAAGCAGGAAGTATCACTCTGGGCCGCTTGTGGCTTGGCAGGACATGATACAGCACATCCTCTTTGAGGACCAGACATTGTCTCATTAACCACAAGGCCTTCACAGCACGACCATGTGTAAACAGTTCCTCTTGGGAGGGGCTGGTCCCTCCCTGTAGCCATGCTTTCACTGGTCCCACATTAGGATCCTAGGTTTGAGAGGTCCACTCGACACAATCCATTCATCCAGTTGATCAATTTATGGGAATTTGATTGTTGGTCACTAGGGTCGACTTCGTGGTCGGTTTCATCCTCCTCCTCTGATGAAGACGAGGTACCTCCCCTTGTGCAGTGTTGACGACTTGAATGGCTATAGGTGGATGGGTACAGATGTCTTTAGCTTGAGGGCTACTGGCTCGGTAGGCTAATGGTACAACATAGTCCACATCTTCACTGAACCGTTCCCATTGCAGATGAGCTTTCTGACAAAATCAGCACCCCCCCCCCCCCCGCAAGGGAGATCTCCTACCTGTGCCCCCGCGAGGTAGCAGTTACAGACTTCCTCATCACTAGGGATACGCGACAGTCCATCTGCGTTGCCATGGGTTTTTTGTCCTGGCCTATGAAGAATCTGCATATCATACTGAGCAAGTTCTTCCAACGAGATAGTTGTCCCTCTATGTGCTTGAATCTTGTCAACCATACTAGGCTGTTGTGGTCTGTGCGGATATAGAACTTCCGTCCAAGTAGGTAGTGGCGGAAATGTCTGCAGAACTTAACTACTGCTAAGAGTTCTTTGCGTGTAGTGCAGTACTTCCGCTGTGCTGGTATCAGTACATGGCTGGCATAGGCAATGACCTTGACCTTGCCATCTTGAACTTGAGATGACTCGGCCCCTATAGCCGACTCGGAAGCATCTGTGTCCAGTATGAAGTCCCTGTTCCCATCCGGGTATGACAAGCATTGTGCACCACATAGGGCAGATTTAACATCCTCAAAAGCTTTCTGATGCTCCTCCCCCCACCGGAAGTCGGTTGTAAGCTTGGTGAGTTCGTATAAAGGCTGTGTTATTCCAGCATAGTTAGGGATATGGTTCCTGTGGTAATTCGCGAATCCTAGAAACGACATCAGCTTGTTTCGATCCACCGGGACCGGCCAGGTTTTCACTGCCTCCACTTTCTTAGGATCCATGGAAATTCCAGACTCGTTCACGAGTCTTCCTAGGAATACTGCTTCCTTCCGGAATAACTCACACTTTTTAGGTATGAGTTTTAGTCCATACTTCCGGAAACGTTCAAACACATTTCTCAGCTTGTTGAGAGTGTCCTGAAAAGATTTCCCTAATATCACAATGTCATCCAGATACACCAATACATCGGACCAAGTCAATCCTCTGAGGACGAGGTTCATGGCGCGTTGAAAAGTTGCAGGTGCGTTACACAGTCCGAAACCCATCCTGGTGTGTTCATATAACCCATATCTTGTGATGAATGCTGTTTTCTTGCGATCTCTTTCATCTAGGATTATTTGGTAATAACCGGAAGCCATATCCAGTGTTGAGAAG